AAACGACCGAAAAAGCGACTAAAAATCTGCGTTTTTCACGAAATGTCAGGGCGATTTCCCGGCGAACGGGAAGTCCAATGACGACGGGCGAGGTACGGATGGAAAGAGGATTTCAAGAGCTTTCGAACGGTGGGTGGATCGAAGAAAACCGATGACGGGATCGTCCAGAATCGGGCCGGAAAAGTTCCGGCTGTGGAATAGAGTTCAGAGAAAAAAATTCAAAAACAAGGTACTTTTGTATGGTTCTGCAGTGGTTCCTTCCATAATTTCTTGTGTTGCATTGCCATTTGAATCTCCCGTCATCTATTTTGCAGATTGAGAAGAATAGAGGTAAACTAGACATGTCGACGGCCAAAGATATGGCCGTCGTTTTTTGTCAATGATGACCAAGATTTAGCCGCCGTTGACGGTCACATCTGGTTGGAAAAGACTAAATCGATGAATTACCGGTCAGTTTTGATCATGGTGTAGGCCATCGTACAGATCTCGGTTACCACCGACGGTAGTTGTCGTCGGAATCTGACAAGTATGGGTTGATAGAGGTGTTTGATCAAGACCCTAAACCAATTAATTAAAGAAGATATCTATCATGAGCATGGGTTTCGTTTGATCAAGACTTTCTTTCATGAAAATTTTACATTGGTCCTGCCACATTTTAACCAATTAATTAAAGAAGATATCTATCATGAGCCTTATAATTCTCTTTAATTTTGTTCCCCAGTGATAGTTGTGAAAAAGACGTTATTGCTATGCTTGTGAAAATGAGCTATAAAGCAGCTGGCATAAGCATAAGAATGCACCTTTTCATATTTTCTTTGTAAATGTAGTATGCTTATTAAAGAGAAAAAGAAGAGATATCGTATGAATGCTTCCCTTGATTAATCAAGGGAGATAAATAATTTGCCTTTAGCCAATACTATGTGAGATGTAAGACTTTAGCAATATTGCCTCGTCTTCTTATACTTCGTCATTAATTTAACAATATTTACGCTATTATATCAAATGTGTAATTACCTCGCAATAAACAGACTCTAAAAGGTAAAAGGAGTATGAAATAATTAAGAGGGTGTTTGTCTGAGCTTATGAAAATTAGCTTATAAGCAACAATTGCTTATAAGCTAAAATTAGCTTATAAGTACTTGTCGCTTATAAGCTAATTTTCATAAGCTCAGACAAACACCCCCTTAATATAACTAAGATTTCCATGAAAGTGAACTTGAAGTTGGGAATTATTGCCTTCTGTTACCGATGCTTTATAGTGTTGTTTTAGGCAAATTAGACCAAGTTGGAACCTGTATATGTTGGAATGAAGCTTCTTGACCCAGAAGATGATTCCGGTGACCTAATATAATTTGTTCCATAATTATATTTGCTCTTGTTTTTATATATTTTTCAAGCATAAAAACTCTCTCTGCTGAGTTTGATAACTCAGTTATAACTATGGTATATGTACTTCATACCAGAACTTATGTTAAAAGTGAATTCTGTTCTGAAAATGCTTGTCCTGCCCTTGGAAATTATTATGTATTTAAATGATCAAAAACCAATGTGAAGGCATAATGAATGTTGTACATTTCACTGTAATCTCGACATTTTGAATGTGGTCTTTAGGAGAATGCTACCAATCACAGCATGAGATATTTATGGTGGTGATCTATTAGGTTTAAACCAGTTCTGTACCTGTGGAAGTTTTGATGTGGGCTAGGGTTCTTTACGGTCATCAGTATGTTCTTTTAGATGCTATATAAACGAAACGGATAAATAAGTCGTTCGTTTTAACTTCTCCGCCTCTGGATTTTCATTGTTTATTTTGACTTATAACCCAAAATTGCTGTTGCTGCAGGTCGTAAATATCCTCCCCGTAAGAGGTGGACTTTCTCCGAAGTTTTCACAGGGAACGGTTTAGACCACGGAAAATTACCAAGTTGCGTGAAGGCTTGTTTCTAAATTTGATGCACTGGATTATGAGTTTCCATTGGCATTCTTAGAGTACACTTTGAATTGTATGGGAGTTTGACAATTAGCCATTGTATAAGTTTCTGAGATTTCGTTGCTGCTCTTTTTATCTTATTGACCAAAATTTTTCATGTTATAAAATAGTTGATATGATGGGCACAATTTTATAGTATTAAAGATTTTGAGTCTGATTGTTTTATTATTTCATATCCTATTCCCAAAATAGTTGTTTGTTTAATTATTTAGAAAATACTATTCTATTTTATTTAATTATTTTTAGACTCCTTAAGTTTATTAATTTAATTAAACACCCATAGAAAAAAAGTTTAAAAATTAATAAAAACACCCCCATCCACTCATAGTTGCTAGATTCCGGTAACCATTGTCGATGATAATCAAAATCTGTCACAATGACGTAGAAACGACCAGAACTGGTTGGTAATTCGCCGATTTGGCCTTTTTGGATCTGATCGAAAAAGGCCAGATCTGACAGTCAGTGATGGTCAAATCTGGCTTTTTTCGGCCAGATCTGTGGTGGATCTGGCTGTAGTTCTGATCTTATCTGGCCAGATCCGTGGGCTAGATCTGACTGGTCTGCATCATAACGCTATTTTTCGACTAGATTTCAATGGTGGTGGTCGAAATCTAGCATTGTAGGTGGGTGGGGGTATTTTTATTATTTTATAAAATTCTTATATATTGAGGTATTTAGTTAAATTAGCAAATCTAGAAAGTTTTTTTGTTAATTTTTAAATTTTATCTCATAATAATTACTCTATTCAACTATCCAATATTGTTCTCAAAATCCTACCTAAAATAACATACCAAGCTAATTGTTATTTCCAGATTTCTGGAGATATTTGTATAAATATTAAAATAAAAAGGGCAGGTAAAATGAAGGTGTTATTGGTTGACGAAAGGGCCAATAAAATAAACGGTTCAAGTGGTTTAAAGAATAAAGAGACCGTACATAGTGATAAAGTGGGAGCCCTGGAAAATATGCCAAATGTCTTGTGGGCCATGGTTAGCGAAGACGTTATTTATGCATGAAAAAAGCACAACTTGCATGCAAACTAAGCTACGTGAAACGTATTCTTGTGGTAATTTAAGAATTATATATTAAACTAAAATTATTAATGATAAAAGAATAAGAAGAGGATTAAATATCGTCTTTTGGGACTAATAAGAGTAATTTTAAAGCTCTTATGTTATTAATAATTTTAAAATTTCATAAAATTAGTTAAGGTAGCTCAATCAATTCAATGTCGGTTATTAAAAGGAAAAAAAAACAGCAATTGAACTATCAAATTCTAAAGGTCAAAACATGACGGCAGAGGGAGGAAAGAGTAAAAAAAAAAAAAAAAAAAAAAAAAAAAGGTAGAAAGAGAAAATAAAAAAGGTCAATCACACATTTTTACTTTTGTAATGTTTTGTCAGTCATCTTCAATTTAAGTTTTGGAGAGGAAATGAATAATTGCAGTTTTGGAGAGGAAATGAATAATTGCAGATTTACAGTGTATATCGTATTTGAAGAAAGTTAAATGTGTAATTAATATAGTATTATTTATAGAAGAATAGGATAAAAAAGGTGGAATATAATAGGATAAAAAAGGTGGAATAAGAGATTTCACCTTGATGAATAATTTTTATTGCTGCAACAATGGCCGCTCACTTGCTAGAAAGTCAGAAAACTAAAACGAGACGGAACTAAATGTGATATACTATATAGTTTTTTTAAAGATAATTGGATATTTTAACGGGTCAACAAAATTTAATTTTGCATAATACGTTGATGCTCCGTACATGTGACATCTATTGAGACACCTTTTTATTTTGCATGCTCTACACGTATTAATGGCTTTGATCGTAGAAAAAAACATCATCTTCCATTTCTTGTTCACTATATTTATATTTTATTAATTTCTCTACATGTGAAAGTCTATATTAGAAAAGGCCAAATCTGGCCGTCGAGGCCAGAATCTTGCCGAAAAATTGTGTTACGATACAAACCCGTCGGATCTGTGTCATAACACGTCGATTCGACATTTTTCGACCAGATCAGTGAATGATTTAGCCGAAAAAGGTCAGATCTGGTCGTCAAGGCTGAAAAAAGCCTGACAAAAAAAGCCAAATTGACGCGTTACGACATAGATCAGACGGGTCTGTGTCGTAACACAATTTTTCGGCCAGATTCTGACGGTGGTGGTCAGAATCTGGCACTGCTGGTGGTTGGGGTATTTTTGTTATTTTGTAAAATTTTTATATATTGAGATATTTAGTCAAATTAGCAAACCTGGGGGATTTTTTAAAAAATTTTAAATTTATAAAAAACTAAAATATTAAACTTTCAAGGGCATTTTAGTCTTTTCACTATTATCAAATGAAAATCACTAACAGAACATGACGGAAGGTATCTATTTATCGTTTTAAAATCTTTTAAGTATCAACTTGTTGTTTCGATAAACCTTAGGTATGCGTTAGTTGTTCTCCCATTAATGATTGCGAATAAATACAGTGAGATTAGAGTAAGAGACTTCCAAGCTAGAAATCAATATATCAGAGAGCATTAAGGATGTCAAATAATGGAGGACGTGCATCTAACGCCTATGGCTACTTTCGTGGTTCAACTTCAACAAACCCTGCCAATCCACCGTCTCCCCACATCCAAACACAAACAAAAACTGCCGCTAGCGCCATGTTACGGGGTTATGGTGGTGAAGGAAGCAGTGCAACATCATCAACTGTCTCCAATTATCAACATTCTTCTGCCTGGAACCACTTTGATAATAGACCACAAACTGCACCTTCATCAACACCACCAGCACCAAGTGCACCGCCGTATCCCACCACTGGAGCTTTCATGTTAACCACTCAACGGCTGCCTTAATTTCGATAATGGTTGGTTTAGATTTTTTGGATTTTTTTTTTTCTTTTTTCCCATCTGTCTCCCTTGTGGGCGTTCCAATCATCCAGCATTCCAGCTCACCCTACTCACAGCCACCATGACCATCATCATCATCTTCGTCATCTCCCTTGTGGGCGTTCTAGTCTTTGTCGTCTCCCTTATGAGCATTCGAGTCACCGAGCTTGCCGTATTCACTAGCATCATCATCTTCTTCATCATCTCTCTCCCTTGTGGCAAGTCGAGTCACCGAGCTGGCGGATCATAAGCACCAGCAGCATCATCATCTCCTTTGTAGGGTTTCCGGTCACCGAGTTTGCCATACCCACCCACCCGACTCATCATCGTATTCATCATCTCTCTCCCTTGTGGGAAGTCGAGTCACCGAGCTGGCCGATCCTAAGCGCCAGCAGCATCATTATCTCCTTTGTTGGCTTTCGGGTCACCGAGTTTGCCATACCCAGCCGACTCATCATCGTCTTCATCATCCTCTCCCTTGTGGGTAGTCGAGTCACCGAGCTGGCCGATAATAAGCACCAGCAGCATCATCATCTCCTTTGTAGGGCTTCGGGTCACCGAGTTTGCCATACCCACTAGACTCATCATCGTCTTCATCATCTCTCTCTCTTGTGGGAAGTCGAGTCATCGAGCTGGCGGATTATAAGCACCAACAACAGGGTTTCGGGTCACCGAGTTTGCCATACCCACACGACTCATCATCGTCTTCATCATCTCTATCCCTTGTGGGAAGTCGAGTCACCGAGCTGGTCGATCATAAGCACCAGCAACATCATCATCTCCTTTGTAGGGTTTCGGGTCACCGACTTTGCCATACCCAGCCGACTCATCATCGTCTTCATCATCTCTATCCCTTGTGGGAAGTCAAGTCATCGAGCTGGCCGATCATAAGCATCAGCACATCATCATCTCCTTTGTAGGGTTTCGGGTCACCGAGTTTGCCATACCCAGCCGACTCATCATCGTCTTCATCATCTCCCTTGCCGGCATTCGAGTCACTGAGTTGGCCGGTCATAAGCACCAGTATCACCATCGTCTTCCTCACTTGCGAGGATTGGATCACCGAGCTGGACGGTCATAGCACCGGCAGAATGGTTATCTCCCTCCCTTGCAGGGATTCGAGTCACCGAGCTTGTCATACCCATTCACATCATCATCATCATCATGCCTTTTAGGGCTTCTGATTTCACTCAACTCTATCTGAGTTTTTTTTTTTTATATTTTCACTTTCTTCTCTACCCATTATCAACTCTTTCCGAGTTCTTTTTTATTTTTCACTTTCTTCATTCTTATGTTGCGACATCTAAGTCCTATCTCCCTCGTGCGTGGGCGGTCAGCAGCCGCCATAAAAACTCATATAAAATACAAAAATTAATAACCGGTCTTTGTGGAATGTAATTTTAACGATTCTTTTATACATGATATTCTTTATTATTGATTAATGCACTTTATCCAATGCCATACAGGTTTAAAGATTGCCGGAGTGACAATTTAATTTAGTTCTGTGGTGAATCCAGTTCGATCCATTGTCGGCATTACTGGTTGAGCAGGTTTCTTCGTTTATGTAATATGTCCTCTATTTCAATTTGTATCTGTTGTTATGCATGAAATTGTATTATGTTACTTGATAGTTTTAAAATTGTCTTGAACTGAAAATTTGTTATTGGAAATCCGATCTTAGCCGCTTTTTGATAATTTCTGTTGTTGAAAATTTGTTGGAATTGTGACCTTACAAGCCCACTGTTGTGGCCACAATGGTGACCTGACCTTACAAGACCACTGTTGCGGCCACGGTGGTGGCCCCAAGCAAGGCCACCATTACCAGTCCCTAGAGCCCCACAACACAAGCTAAAGTTAATTTTTCTCAACCCAATCAATCAGAAACAATAATTAAACATCTAAGAATCAAACAGTCCAAAATAAAAAAAAAATAAAGCTTTGCTGATTGTTCTTCTAGGTCAAACTACGCACTCCACCCCTACCAACCAATGTGTTCTTCACCAGTCCCTAGAGCCTCACCCCACCAGCCTCCATATTTTTTGAAGCAGCTTTTTCCGCCGGCAACGGAATCGCACCGATCTAGGTGCGATCCAGGTTGAATAGATAAATAAACAAAATAAAAAAGAAAAAAAATAATAAATAAAATTCAACCAATTACAATGTAATTCATACGGGATGAAGTCAAAAAGTTAATATATAATTGAAAAAAAAAAGGAGATAAACTACAGGGTGCATATGTTTTCCTATTTTTGCCCTGTCCTATTCCTATCATTTTCAAAATACACATTTATTTTCCTATTCTGAAAATTTGTTAATTTAACTAAACACTTTCCAAAAAAAAGTTTAGAAATTAACAAAAGCACTCTTACACACCCACATTTGCCAGATTCCGGCCACCACCATTGAAAGGTGGACAGAATCTGGTATAATGGCGCACTACCGGCTGGATCTGACTGATAGTGCTCCGATGTAGCCTTTTCCAGCCAGATCCATCGTAGATCTGGCCAGAAAATACCAAATCCGTAGCAAACGCGGCTAGATTTGGCCATCAATGGCCAGATCTAGGGCCGTAGATCTGGCATTTTCCTGCTAGATCCATGGTGAATATAACTGGAAAAGGTCATATCGGTGCACTACCGGTCAGATCCAGCCTGTCGTGCCCTGATACGATGACTCTGGCCACACTTTGACGGTGGTGGCCGCCTGCCAGTAGCTAATGGATGGGTGAAAGTGTTTTTGTTAATTTTCAATGTTTTATTACTAGGGTGTTTTGTAAATTAACAAACTTATGAGGTATATTTGTTAATTTTCAAATCTACCTCGTAATAACTACCCAACTCTTACTTTTTCAAAAATACTATCCAAAATACTAAAAGAAACGCACCCACAAATTTTACCATATAATTTCTCAATAATTACAAAATCCTAAACATTTCAAAAAACAAAAAAAAGGCATTGCAAATAATAAAGGAATGCTCAAATCTAGTGAAGCTTCGAATCTTCAATTCCAAAACAAATATAATGAAGAGATCAAATGTTTTTAGACAAAATCAAATCAGTAAGAAAAAATATAAAGTCTTTAGAGAGACAGATTAGGGATTTGAAAGGCCAAAAAAGGAGTATAGGAATTTTTGGGTGAAATTTGGAGACAGGGAAAATTGAAAAACTTTTATAAAAGATTCAGGTGATCGAGATGTGTTGTTTATAGTATTGAAGGAAAACTATTTTTGATTAAATTATCATATAACTCATTTTAATAACAAAGTCAACTGAACATATCATAAAACTTCAAATCTGAGAGCAAGATTTTTTAGTCTCAACCCTATGAACAAGTACGTAAATCTGCATGTATAAAATTCATGGCAAATCAACTACACAATATGCAAAATGAAGTTATGCTGGGTGGCCCAACCTAAAAAAAAATCATTATTTAGCAGAAGTTTTGTAGTTACCTGGAGAGAGGAATGTATAAAAGGGTGAGCCAAAAATAGCTCAATAAATGGATAATTTTATAATAAACTTTTTCTTCCAAAAAAATCCTTTTTCTTTTCTGAAATAATGTTTTTGTAAACATATTATTACAAATTTTACTCCATCATCCCAACACAAAGATTAATTACACCAACTCGGAATATTTGATTACACCAACTTGGAATATTTGAAAAATGTTACCCGTGTAAAAGGTTATGCAAGCGGCAGGCGCGCGCAGAAGCTGCTGTGGGCTGGGACTTTTTCGGCAAGATCCACAGTGGATCTGGCTATCGACGGCAAGATCTGGCCGCATTTGATCGTCAACGACGGTCAAAGATATGGCCTCGTTGAGGACTGGCTACGGCCAAAGATCTGGCCGTCAGTGGGCAGACCTTTGGCCGTAGATTTGGTCGGAAAATGATATAGCAGCTCACTACAGGCCAGATCCAGCCGGTAGTGCGCCATTATCCAGATTCCGGCCAGTTGTCTGCGGTGGTGGCCGAAATCTGGTAAATGTGGGTTATGGGGTGTCTTTGTCAATTTTTAAAATTTTTTTGGGGGTGTTTAGTTAAATTAACAAATCTAGGGGGTTTAAAAAAATTGAATAATATTTTGAGAATAAGGAAATAAATGTATATTTTGGATTTTTAAATAAATCTAGGGGGTTTAAATAAATTGAATAATATTTTTTTAACTTTATATATTTTTCTTTAAAATGATTAGATTTTTAGAATGTTTATGTAATGTAATTATATAATTATTGTTAATACTCATCCCATGCGCCTAGGGGCAGACCCAGCCCTTTGGAGGGTAGGCCCAGGCCTACCCTCACATTTTAAAAAAAAATTCTTTATATAGGCTTATAACAAATTATATATATATAGAGCCTATCTTTAGATTTTAAAAAAATAAGATTCAGACTCATAAAAAACTTATTATTAATATATATATTTCATACTTACATCATATTAAAAGTTTAAAACTCTCTCCACTCTTTTCTACGTACATATGTATTTTATGATTTTATCCCTAAAATTCTTTATTTTCTCATTCTTTCTTTCACTTTCTCTATATTATTCATTCTTAAAACTTTTGAAGACTGAAATTGTTGAAGTTTTCACTCATCAAGGTGCCACAATTAGTTTCATTTTTTGTTTTCTTAGTTTTAGATATGTATATTGCTCATTTCATTTTAGTTTATTTTAGGGTTGAATCATGCTTATTTTTTTGGAGGATTCTAATTTGATGAAAAAATGCATGGATCTTGTGAGTTTGTTTTGTGTTTAAGAATGTTCTCACTTTCCCAAATTAAACCTTAACTATATTTTACTGAACGTTATTTTTCACCTTTCACCCACCACTTTCCTACATTTCAAACATCACCGTTTAGCTGATCAAAATTATTAAAGAAGTTTGAGTTATTATCTATGTTTATACTAAGAAAATTTCTCTTTTTTTTTTTTATTAATTCATATTAAAAGTCAAGACAACATTGATTTGATTGTCTTTAGCTTAGGTTATGTCTAATTAAAGTCATGAAAATTTATATTATAATCTTTGAAAACAAAAAAAAAAACAAAAAAAATGGAGAAATAAGAAATTTGTGTAGAACATTTTGGGTAGATTGTGATTGTTGTAAACTCTTTTAATTATATTGGATTTAAGTGGATCGTTAGATTCCCGTAATCTTTTGCTCTCTTTAATTGAAGAGGTTTTTCCATGTAAAAATTTTCTTGTGTTTCCTCGTGAATTGAATGTTATTTTCAACATAATTTTTAAAATTTCAGTAGTTGTTTGACAAACAATGACGGAGCCACGGAGGTCTCTCTGGACAAAAATCCTAGGTCCGCCACTACATGCACCAAGATTAAAGAATCAAATAAAAAATAACGTGTTACAATGGAGAATAATTTTCAATCAATTAACGAGCAATATAAAAATCAAGATAAAATTGAATATGGAACAATTTTCAATCAATTAACGAGCAACACTAAAATCATCTTTTCACCACCTCGGATTGTCAAAAGACTAGGATCTTCTTCAACATAATCAGCGGCGCAACAGAAGGCCGTATTTTTTTTTTTTTTGGTCCTCCGATTGGATCAACTTTATTAGCTCCTCTACAAAGCCAGTTTGTCTGGCTCCTGCCGCAATATGAGGAACAGTTTCATGTCCCTTTGTGATACCAGCACACAACATCGTAGGATCTTTTCTAACAACTTTTTGGCACTTTTCCAGTCACCTTTTAATGGAGCCTTATGAAGAGGCACACAGTTTGACTTGGTGGAAAAATACCATTACTCTACATTTGTGAGAAGAGCACAAGAAAACCAGATCATTAACTTTGACTTGCAACAGTTTGTGTTTATTGACGAAGTCCTCACTTTATTATTTTTTTAAGGAAATTGAAATGAAATTTCTTTGAAAAGACAGAAAGCAAATGGTTGGTATATATATATATATATATATATAACTTCTTCGGGTGACCACCAAGGTGGGGATTTAATCCATGTTGAATCTAGGGGTGTTCAAAAGCGGTTAACCGAACCGGTTAACCGCTTTTTTGAACCGAACCGGTTTTTCGGTTCGAGAAAATTCCCGAACCGAAACCGAACCGGTTTAGAGGGAAAACCGGTTTTTCGGTTAACCGAAAAACCGGTTAACCGCTTTTTTTAAAGCGGTTAACCGGTTTTGAACCGGTTTTCCCTTTTTTTTATAAACTTATTTTTTTTATTTTTTCTTAAATTAAATTGTAAATATAAATAATACATATCCAAATAAAAATTAGACATTCATATATATTCATTGACTACTACTAACGATACATTAAAAATATTATTATTTTTTATTTTTATTTAATATATAATATATAATATTATTATTTTTTATTTAATATATAATATTTATTTTTATTTAATATATATATTTTGTAAAACCGGTTCAAAAAACCGGTTTCGGTTAACCGCTTTGTATTTTTTCCCGAACCGTTAACCGAACCGGAAATTCGGTTTTTTGAATTTTTCGAACCGTAACCGAACCATTTTTTCGGTTAACCGGTTTTTCGGTTCGGTTATCGGTTCGGTTACCGGTTCGGTTCGGTTTTTGCATTTTTTTGAACACCCCTAGTTGAATCATAAATATCAAAATAATTGTAACTTCTGATTTGAGTAGTTAGCATTTCTCCAATCTTTTAATTTAAGATAATTGTATATTTTTTCTTTACTTGTCTTATCTGTGGAATATTAGCCCATGTATGCACTGGTGACTGGACCTACGATGTGGAAATTACAATTCTGAATGATTTGGCCTCTTAATCTATGTCACAACTCATGTTACAAGTTCACCTTATCAACATTACTAATTTATTATTTACATTTTTTATTGATATTACAAGTTCAATTTATCTCAACCACAAGCTTGAAGATATACATATATTTTTTCTTTCTTTGGGGATGTTGACACCATTTTTTATTTTTCTAGGCTATAATTTATAGGCTACTGTGTCTACTTTATTTGAATACAAGGTGGAAAATGATTTTTATTTTTTAGTCCTTACTATTTTTTTTTAGCTCGTTCTTTTACTTTAGGTAGATATATTTTACTATAATAAAAGTTTTATTTTTCTTCTTCCATATTTTAAATTCAAAGCTTTATAGTTTCAGTTATCGAAAAATTAAATAAAATTTAGGTTACTAAGAATTCATTATTTCAGCGAGCAGTTGGTGTGCACCAAAAAAACCCAAGCAAAATGTTACCAAAAAAAAATCACCCAACACGTCCCAATCTCTCCAGAAAACTGCAGAAACAATAAACACCAAAAACCCACAAAATATCTTGTGAAAAACACAAAAAATCAGATCACAGAAAGCTTAGAAGAGAACAACCCAACACAATTTTGCACGGAAAAGCAAGGAGCTTTTCCGGCAAACCACGAACAACCAAGGCAAACCAAGAGCAGGGTTTTGAAGAGCAAGACCAGACGGTTTGAACGGGACCAACCACAGCCGTTTCCGATCAGTAAAACGACCGGAAAAGCGACTGCAAATCTTCCTTTTTCGCGAAATGTCAGGGCGATTTCCCGGCGAACGGGAAGTCCAATGACGACGGGCTAGGTACGGATGGAAAGAGGATTTCAAGTGCTTTCGAACGGTGCGTGGATCGAAGAAACTGATGACGGAATCGTCCAAATCGGGCCAGAAAAGTTCCGGCTGTAGTATAGAGTTCAGAGAAAAAATTTCAAAAAAATTCCCCCATCCCTAAACCCTTACCTGTGTATAAGGCTATTGAAATATATCGAAAACTAATCTCTTCTAAACATTTAAAAAGATTGAATATTAGAAATAGATTTGACATTGTTACAAAAGTTCCGCTCTGTCCCTACAACTCAGTCATTTAAAAAAAAAGTGGGAATACCATTATGAATTAAGAGTTGCAAGAATTACAGGGTAGCAATGGGGAAGGCGGAATTATTGGAACTCAAGAATTGGCCGGCAGAGAGATACGAGGCGGCATTATTGAATTTAAGCAATTGAAAGCAGCTATTTACAAGGCAGCGAAATTCACGAAATGGAAGGCAGAGATTTACAAGGCTGAGAAATTTAAGAAAGACCGATGGTAGTTTTACAAAACACGTACAAATAAAGCATACAAAGATAATTCTCACCTTTAATTTTCATGATTTCTCTCTCATTTTCTCATTTTTTGTTTTTTTTCTTTCTGGACACTTTGTAACCTTCTTTATAAGGATAGTACTTTTCTTTAAGAAATGGAAGTCAGAGAGTTGTATGGCAGCATTTTTTTTTTTTTTTTGGGAAACTTATTAAGGTAGTAGGAATACGGATACTGAAGGGACAGAGACAGCAGCTACGTAGAATTCTACATATGCCGAAGTCAATTGAGGTATGGATTCAATATCATAGTTTGGCATGTAATTCTCGCCTAAATGTGATCTTGGACTGACATTTTCGAGATTCATTTCAGTCATCCAGGAATAGTTAGATTCTCCCAGCACCTAACAATCAGGGAAGGAGTCAGTTTGGGGTTTCGTTTACTGTTTCAATAAAGCTTTGTTTACCGTAGTCAGGGAAGGAGTCAGCACCTAACAATAGTTACATGAGAATGGTGACAACATATTTCGCATTGCAGTTTTGCATCGCCATTCCAATGTACTGAATCTAATATGTTATAAACTTAACTAAAGCGGTAGAAAAATGAAAAAACAAAATAAAATCTAATTTCATGTCAGGGGCCCATTGGACTGATATCCATTTAGAGCATCTTATAATCCTTTCATGGCCTACTGTTTTATGTTTTGGGCTTCGCCTGTTTGGCCTCTTATTTGCCTCTCAATTTGGGTTCGTTAAGCACAAAGCTAGTAAGATTGACAAATTCTTTTTTATGGTTTTGCAGTGGTTCCATTTCTAATTGGTGCCTCCCATAACTCCCTTTGTTGCATTGCCATTTGAAACTCTTGTCGTATATTCTGCAGATTAAGAAGAATAGAGGTGAAAAAAAGGAGGGTTTATGTCCTTGCAGTCGATGGGATGTGGAAGAACTGAAAGTAGCTTTAGTGATATGAGCATTTCTAGTGGTGGAAGTGGGACTGGATTTGGTTTGAGCACTGATGCTGAGTCCTTTTCCAGCAATTCTAAAGGTATGTGTCCTTTAAGTGGAATGAATTCTATGCGTATGCTTCTAATTTTTTATGGGTTGTGGATTTATTTGACATTCATTCTGTGAGTTAGCAAATAGGAATGCATTGTAGCTAAATAATTGAGAATTTCCTTTTGAGATCCTAGGCAGATAGGTTATCCTTGTTCTGTCTTTAAGATATCTGTTTGTTGCCTTTTTGTGGACATCAGCTTAATGGATCTGTTTCTGGATTCCTCAATGATTTGTTTATGAACTGAAGAGAATTCTTATCTATTATTTACTTCCATCATTAGGTTATCCACCACAGCTCCTCCTAACGGTCGTGACATGCAGCTTGGTAAATTCCAAAGGCAAATCAATTCTTGGAATCTCTGAAAGAAGGTATAGTGATTCTAGAAGATCAGTTGCTCCACCACCAACTGATCCTATCTCTTTGACAGTTGAGGAGAAACTCAACGTAACTCTGATACTAGACGGTGGAATGAGTAACTTTGATGTCCAAGAAACTTTGTCGCTTCAAATTCTTAATCAAGAAGATGTTCTAATTCAAGTTCAGGTACTTCCTTTTCTCTATTAGATTATCTGTGTGCCAAGTGATGGCTTCCATTTTGTGCTCCAACCGTATATTTTCCTCTTTGAATGAAAGATGCTTGACCTGACTGTAATTGCCAAAGGCTTGACATTGATTTCTAGATTTGCTGTCAATGTTGTTGCGATTTGTTCTGTTTTTTCATTACAATATATCCTGCGTTATTTCAGTTGGAGACTGGAGTGAATCCGGCCATTCTTTTCAAAACTATCCTAATATGAACAAACAACTCTTCACCAATGAAAATATACTAGGCTTGAAGGACCCTAATAGGCCTTTGCCCACAGGCCAAGCTGGTGATGCAGGAGGTGTTGGTCTTTTGAAGGGGAGAATGCAAAGTGCTAATGAGTCAATGGTTCCATTGTCAAGTGGGTTCGAGTCTTCCATGGAATTTTCTCTATGCTAAAAGCATTTATGTGGATTTATGTTATTGCAGCTTCGTCAATGTTTGATTTTCGAAATGTTGTGATCCCAGTACCTCTTCCAGCTCTTCGAGAGGCACCAAGTGTTAGGCAGAATGATGTGGAGTGGAAGTAAGAAATTTGACTTTGCATAATTTATTATGGGTATTGGATTTAAGTTGTAATGGCTTCTATCTGTCATGACAAAAATATCTGGCATTCAATTATAACATTCCTTTTGACTTTCAGGTATGACTATAGAAATTCTGTCTGGAATGGTCGAAGTCAATACTTCTCATTTATAACACTAACAGCAGGTAGGTGAGTACTATACTTTCAACTTCATGTGTTACATCTTCTCTTATTCAGTATCAATGAATAAAATTCATGTTTTACTCTACTGAATATGCAGTGGATCATGGAATTTGTTGTGCCGTGTCAACAGTATATACAAGCTGAAACTTAAAAATTTCTTAACTGAAGAAAGAAGTGCAGAACTAATGAAGTGTGAATACTCAGGTGCCAGTAACAAAGGAAAGAAAAGTCTGTTAAATATAACAGTTTTTGTTAGAAAGCCTTGCAAGAATACGGTGTCGTTACAACAATCTTCAAACTGTGGAAAATTTCAAATAAATAAAGTTAAACAAAGTGGCAGCTCTTTCTTCTAAGTCTGAGAACAGAGTTGCAGTAGAGAAAGACAAAAGGAATTGAATGATGAATAATTAGTGTTCGTGTGTTTGTTTGGAAGTGAATGAACGGCTGTGATGTAAAGTGACTGTGCTGATGTGGCTCATGATTTGCCACAGTGGAAGTCAGCTCTTATTATAAAGAGTCAAAGGAGCAATGCCGCGTCGTTTTGTCCTGGACCAAGTGTATATCGTGTACTTCGATCCTTGACTCTTGCTAAGCCTAAGCCTCTCATCTCTCTCTTTGCCTCTCAAAACACATGGCTGAGGAATCTTCTAGATTGTTGCCCATCTCATGGTTATGGAGAAATCAAAGACAGATGGAGGCTGATTTAGAGAAGGATGTTTGTGTATTTAGTGTGGTTGTTGCAGAAGAGTAGATAGATCTCAATTGCAAAACTAAGGGTTTTGAATTTGGGTGTGTTTCTTCCTTTGTATTCTTCTTTGTTCTTTATTCATTCATTGTACATTTTTTATGGTTGAGTAATGAAAATACTCTACCGTGAGCCTTGGAGAGTGGATGTAGGCTGCAAAGCCGAACCACTATAATCTGATGTGTTCTGTGTTCTTCTCTACTTGCTTATTTCATTATTTTGGTTAATCAATTCGATTATTGATTGTATTATTATGGTTGAAAGTGTTTATTAGTAAACCCTAGAATCCTAATAGTGACATGGATCACTAGATTATGTATAAAAACCATTTTAGAGAAAGTCAATAGAAATGCAGCAGATTGTGAAATAGAAATTAGATCAGTTTTCTTTCGATTAATTCTCTCTCTGTCTCTAGGGTTTTTCCTTTGCAGATTTTACTTCATCGATACTATTCTTTAATCTTGTTGGATGATGGCTTGAAACGCTACCGTATTGACACTTAAGTGGAACGACGTCGCTTTGCTCTAAATGACAGAAACAATCCTGAGCGTTGATGAAAAAGGAGATCCAACGGATGAAATTCAACCCTAATGTCAACCATATAAAAGCAGAATTATTTTGGCAGTTTATGAGCGCGATTCATTTTTCGTTTTAGAACTCTCTCTCTTCTTCATTAAACACCATTGTTAAGCCTTTAGGGTTTCTACAGTTTGGGTTGAGTGTTTNTGAATGAACGGCTGTGATGTAAAGTGACTGTGCTGATGTGGCTCATGATTTGCCACGGTGGAAGTCAGCTCTTATTATAAAGAGTCAAAGGAGCAATGCCGCGTCGTTTTGTCCTGGACCAACTTGTATATCGTGTACTTCGATCCTTGACTCTTGCTAAGCCTAAGCCTCTCATCTCTCTCTTTGCCTCTCAAAACACATGGCTGAGGAATCTTCTGGATTGTTGCCCATCTCACGGTTATGGAGAAATCAAAGACAGGTGGAGGCTGATTTAGAGAAGGATGTTTGTGTATTTAAGTGTGATTGTTGCAGAAGAGTAGATAGATCTCAATTGCAGAACTAAGGGTTTTCAATTTGGGTGTGCTTCTACCTTTATATTCTTCTTTGTTCTTTACTCATCCATTGTACATTTTGGATGGTTGAGTAATGAAAATACTGTAGGTGACCTAAAGGTTTGCTTGACATTGTTTTTGGGTTATTGTCTTAACGAATAATAATGGGCGTTTGCATCTATGTTTGTGATTACATCGTGCATTGGGCCATTGGCAAAGTTTCTGATTAATTATATTTGCTCTTGTTCTAATATCATTTTAATTTTAAAATCTAAAAACATTTTATGAATACATCAATGTGATTAACAAAAATACCCCTATATCATAATAAATTTATACTTTAAATTAAAATGTTTAAAATACTTTTAAACTAAATTATATTAATTACCCTTAATGCAATTCCCGGTACCCGGAAATCGGTGGTGGTTGTCAGTTTCTAATGATCGGATAAATTTTTCGATGCTATATTTTAACGATATTGATATCAAAATGACCATATTTTAATGCTCTATCTATTAACCCTACAATTTTTTTTATTTTTTATTTTTATTTTTATTATTATTATTATTTTTTTTTAACAATGGATGCAGTACGGTGCCATTAGACTATATCTATTAAAATATAGTCTAATGACAGTTTTTCCCACCAAAAGAATGATACAAGTGTCATTAGGCTATTGTTTGTGTGGGAAAAAGCCGTTTACGCAGAGGAAATAAATTGTTAAGAGACCCACCTCGAATTATATAATTAGGTAGGCCAAAAGTCTCTTGTAGGTCATCCTCGTGCATGGAAAAAGGCATCTACCATGCAAACTAAGCTGCGTGAACGACTCCATTCTCATAATAACAGTTATTTATATATGTCAATTAATTACGAAGCAGAGAGATATTAAAAGGAATAAAGAAGGGAAAGGACGCCAGTTTTCAGATATTATTTAGCAATCCGTCATCTTTAGTTCTCCTTTAATATAGTCTCTTGTAGATAACGTCTGAAAGTTGGGTAATATTGGCAAAAAACCATAGAATTATTGATGTTGATTGGATACTATTTATTCATTTTCACGTGAAAGTTAGCAATGGTTGTTCCAAATGCCTGGTCAGATATGAGAAGCGTGGTGAGTTTGCAGGTCGTGCTCGTGGCACTAGCAACCGTGATGGAGAGGTTAACCAGAAAGGTAATCAGATTGGAGGAAAAGTTGCCCGTCAAGGTGGAGTGTAGTAGGTTGCTCATCTTTCTGCTTCATTTAGTTATCTTCAATTTTTCTCCTTTGAGTCGTTAGTGAGCAAATATAGGCAGCAATTTTGATTTTTATTGTTGATTTATCGGCATTATATCTAGGTTATTCTTTTTCAGCACCATTCAGGTAAGTCATAAAATCTAAGAAAAATAATCTTGATTCATTTTTCCTTCTACCCTGACTTTAATATTATACTTGAAACTTACATGATTGGAGCTGAAACCTTTGTTTCTCTCCCTGGCTTATTTTGCATGGAAATAATTTCCGTTACCAGGGACTATTGTCAAGATATAAATTAGATTTGTCCTTTCAAAAATATTAGAACTTATTTTACATATATTATTCTCTATATCCAACACTAGAGGGAATTTTGCTGGTAAGTTTTAAACAAATAAACATGGGCCAGATATGTGTGTATTGATTGGGCTATTGCATTTAAAATAATATGTAGGTATAATTTAATTAGGTGCTTTTGTTTGTTATTGTTTAAAGTTTGACATGGATGATAAATTTTTATATATATTCCTGGGTTATATTAAATCGAAACCAGTGAGGTGTGGAGGTGACACCTAAGCCTGCTATTTTTGGTTTGTTGTATTAAAAGGGTCGAACGATTTGTGCATACCCAAGGTTTACTGTAACGACAAGTTGGTATCTAAAAGGTTTTGAAACGACAAATAGGTACCTTCCGTCATGTTCTGTTAGTGATTTTTGTTTATTAATAGTGAAAAGACTTAAATGCCCTTCAAAGTTTCAATTTTAGTTTTTTATAAATTTAAAAATTTCTAAAAAACCCCCTAGGTTTGCTAATTTAATTAAACACCCATATATATAAAAAGTTTGTTAAATGACAAAAACACCCCCATCACCCCAGTGCCAGATTCCGGCCACCATCGTCGGAATCTGGCCGGAAAACTGCATTACGACACAGATTCGACGGGTCTGTGTCGTAACGCAACTTTCCGGCCAGATTCCGGCGGTGGTGGCCGGAATCTGGCACTTGCGGGTGGGGGGTGTTTTTGTTATATTATAAAATTTTTATATATTAGGGTATTTAGTTAAATTTGTAAACTTAGGGGGTTTTTTAGAAATTTTTAAATTTATAAAAAACTAAAATTCAAACTTTGAAGGGCATTTTAGTCTTTTCACTATTAATAAACAAAAATCACTAACAGAACATGACGGAAAGTACCTATTTATCGTTTCAAAACCTTTTGAATACTAACTTATCGTTACGATAAACCTTAGGTATGTATAAGTCGTTCTCCCTATTAAAAGCCTTACCAAACATGAGATAATGTCCTTTTGCTTTTAACCAACCAACACGTGGTATGAACAGGTGTGGAAGAATCTTTTAATCTCTATGTATGTCTACATCTGTTACGTGTCCAAAGAAATCATATCATGCTGCTTTGAAGATTTTGTTTTCCTTATTAAAATTAGGCCTCTTTGACTAACCGTTTTTATATGCCCCTTGCCTCGCCTTGCCTGCCACCTAAAGTAGCGAAATTTCATTAGCCTATTGTGGAATCTATCCTTCACTTTACTCGCACACGTTGCTCTTCCTTTTAACCACTTATGGTCCCTTTCCTTGTTACTTTTTTATTCTATTTACTAATTACTAGGTTCAAATCTACAAATGTCACGTAATCACATTAATATTATATTAATATTAATCTTCTTTTATGGGGGCAATATCATTATCAGTCCGGCATGTTTCATTATTACTTAAGATTATTGCTCTTCACCAGTGTCAGCTTTTAGATGGTGACTTAATGAGTAAGGCGTTAGCTTGGTGAAATTTGAAAGGCACTAAGAGGGATTTATAATGGTGCACTTTGTTTGTTCATTCAAAGGGATTCCATTCTGGTTTTCGCTTTCAAAACTTCGAAGTTTTCCCAATTCGGCAAATTTCAAAAGCTAGGTAGCTTGGAACAAATCTGAAGTATTATTAAGATCTTATTTTGATTATCACTTCTTTTAAGGTACAGATACCTTCGTTGAGAAGTTATTATCCAATTATATGTACTTAACTTGATCATGATCACGTTTTTCTCTCTCTCTCTCTTTCTCTTTCCCCTTATCTCTTCTCCACCTCTTTCTTTTTCTTTTCTCTCTCTTTTTCCCCTTTCCTCTTAGAATTCGGTGGGAATTTGCAAGTTATGAAACCATGGGTGGGAACTGTAAGTAGATTCCCCAAAGCTTGTTTAACAAGATATGTAAACCCTATTTCATCTTCAATTCAAAACACAAGCCACCTCCTCTCTTTAGTCTTTCCCTTTATTCTCTGCCGCCTCCTCTTCCTCTCTTCTCTCTCTCAATTCTTCTCCATTTTCGTTCTTTTCTTTTCCTTTGCAAAAGCTTTTCAGTTTTCCCTATTCCCAAATTTCACCCTAAAATTCCTATTCTCTTTCTTTTTAGCCGTTCAAATCCCTAATCTCTCTCTCTCTCTCTCTCTCTCTCTCTCTAAAAACTTTATATTTATACCAAGAGTTAAATTTCTCAT